AGTGCCAACCGGACTTTTTGCTGGCTTTAGCAGGGGTGTCTTCTGTTTCCTCATTAAGTCTCATGTTGCCTTTTGGTCGGAGATGGATATCTTTAAAAAAAATTAATTTTCATTTTTAAAATTTTTATTTTATTATTATTATTCTCACTGGAAGATATGTTTATTCACTGGAGAGAGAGAGAGAGAGAGAGACATCACTGGGAGAGAGAAACAGTTGGTTTCCTCGGTACCTGTGACCAGGGATGGTGCCCGAAACCTTTTGGTAACTGGGACGATGCTCCAACACACTGAACTGACCTTCCCTGGGCCAGAGCACCATATTTATTGATTTCTATTTCATTAAAGATCATTTTTAAAAACCTTAGTACCGGGGATTAAATTTCGACAGGTGCCTTTTAGGATGTGCGGAGCCAATTATATTTTCCCTACAGCTTCCGCTGGAAGGATGCGTTTCACTAGGAAATCGCCTGTGCTGACTCACACCGGCGCCCCCATCCAGGCGCGGTGGGTCTTCACTCCTTCCACCTGCTGATACTTTACGCAGGGTCTTACATCGGCATGCATAAAACTGACCCGTCACCTCATTTTCTGGATGTGTGGAATTGTTGCTGTGTTTCGGTAGCAGTATTATACTTGCCTTAAAAATATAATTTGCAAGTTTTCCTTTGGTCTCTCGGGAGGTTACACGGCATTGGAATGTCCTGCTCTTTAAAGGTGGGAGATGTCCCCGGGAACCCACTTGGCAGTCTGGGGAGAGGGCTGGCTAGCTCTTTGGTGACTTTCTTATTTCTTGCATGACATACACCTGCTTAGATTTGCTCCTTCTTCTGGAATTAGGTTGGTAAATTATATTTTTCTGGAGGAATGATCATCTCATTCACATTTTCAAATACATTTGCATGGAGTCAAGCAAAGGAGTCCTTTGATTTTTCAGTTTCTGCTGTGAGTTTCCATGGTCATTTCTCACGTCGCATGGTATTGAAAAAAATTCTCTCTTTTCCTTGCATAGATTGGGCAGAAGTGTGTTTTCACAGAGCCAGCTTTCATTTTATTGATAAGTTCCACTTTTTTTAAAAATTATTAATTTCAACTTTATTTTCATTCTCCCTTTCCTAACCTCATGAATAGTATGCTAAATTCATTCATTTTTATTTTTGTTTGTTAATATAATCAAATAAGGCAGTGATTTTTGACCTTTTTGATCTCATGGCACACAACTGATTACTAAAATTCTGTGGCACAATAAAAAATGTATTTGTTTGCTGATCTGACAAAAATAGGTATAATTTTCGTTCATTAACACTGGAGGGTTATTGTTGTGTTGGCTGTTGTCATTTTTTTAAATTTGACAATCCAAGGGAAAAGGGGTCAGTGCCCTGACTAAGGAGTTGGGTATTGCATTGAAATGCAATTGAAAACTTATTGAAAACTTCTTGCGGCACACCGGCTGAAGATTGGTAATATAAGTACACGAGTTTTCATCTGAACACAGCCTTAGCTGTATCTCAGGTTCTGAAAGATAGAGTTAGCTGGTACCAACATTGTGATTTCAAGTTTGGTTACCCAGGATGGGGCTAGAGTGAGGAGGGCCTTGAATGGGAAGGAGCAGGCAAAGGATTTTAGACTTGATAACAACGGCATCAGAAGCCCTTGGCGATCTTTGGTAAGGAAAGTAACACGATGTAAGTGTTGTTTTGAAGAGAGGAACATCCCACTTTTTAACAGTTATGGAATCTTTTGCAGTCTTGAAAACACTTTTGGATAGGAAATGCCTTTTTCAGCAAAGATGGGAGAAAATAGTCTTATTTATTTCCTTTTCAATGGTAATGCAGTTCACTCACCCAAACGGACGCCTGCCCTGGGACCTCTCGTGACCGTGACTGTCTTGGTGCCTCGCCTTTGGTGGACCTTGTTCTTTACTGACCCCGGAGTTTCGTACAGAAGCTCCTTTAAGTTGGAAAAACTTCCTTCTTATGGATGGAGAAATGGAGGCTCAGGCAGTCAGGTACCTGACCCACAGTACCACTTGTAGGGTGTAGACTCAGGTCCTGTGAATTTGGGTCTCGTCTCCTTCTTGTGCCAACACATTGACTTTCTTTGTCTACAGAGATGTCATCGTCCTGCGTCCCTTTGTGGGTCTCACCGTGCCCCTCCCCCATACCCTCCCCCATAGCCTCCACTAGGAGGAGGGCAGCCCGTCACCCCAGTGGCCTCTCCCCCTTCACACGTAGTTTGGACCTGGGAGGGGACACAATGCAGGGTCCTGGTCTGCAGTTAAACTGTGGCCAGAACGTGATTTGTTTCTATCTCTAGCAAAATGCTTGTGCTCTGATTCCTCAGTAACCCGCCCTTCGCAGGGAGAGGGTTACGCTCTTACACAATTCCATGAAAAAACTCCAACTATGTCACATCCCACCTGCTGTGGGCTTCTGTCTCCTCGACCCTTGAGGAGGACGGCAGGTGCTGGCGGTCCTTCCAGGGCGATGACAATCGGGAAAACTCAGCTGGAGTTTATTTTTTTAATCGAGCCTTAGGATCCACAGTGCCTACCGCCCTTTGGCCCTTCCCATCCACGGCCACGGGAAGTGCTGTGGCCGTCCACTGATCCGTTTTATCAGTACGACAAGCCCAGGGACCCCGGAGTCGTCACATCTGTGCTGTCCTCGCTGAGTCGGGGCTTTGGAGTGACTACGGTTTTTGCTCAGCGCCGACATGAACACCTCACCTTGGCTGCACGCACAAGTTGGCATTTCTGGGCCCCGTCCTGGGCGGTGCCGGGGTGGCGGGGAGCACAGCCTGTCACAGAGTGTCACGTGGGATGCGGGCCATGGCACCCGGCAACCCCCTCCCCCTCTTTACAGGAGGAGAGAAAATGTCTTATCTTCCCCAGGAGGAAGAAACTGTCCGTCAGACCCCAGGACGTTGAATGCTGGGTGTTTCCCAAGTGGGCGCCTTCACTGGATGCACTTCCCGTCTCCCGCTTGGTAAAAGGGGCCAGGGTCCTCCTAAGCCAGGTAGGCCCAGGCAGGTAATGCCGGGGGCCTGGGGAGGGCCAGGGATCTGGAGGCTGGGGGGCTCAGACCTGGATTTAGGCGGAGGTCTCTCCTTAGTGCTTGACTTCTGGCCTGATTGTACCGGCCGGGTGTTCGGTGACGGTCCCATTCGTGACTTACGGCCCTGAGAGGGGCCCTGGGGGACAGAACTCTGGTGCTCCTGGTCCTCGACTGAAGTGTCATTCTAATGTCACCTGGTTCTCACTGTAGGCGTGGCCCCCTGTTCATGGCCGAGTGTGAAAACTGTCGGTGTGATCAAGGTGTCGTTGAGGGGACTGTCCGAGGAAACTCGGTGTTGGGGGCTGCATGGTGCTGCCCACCCGCCCCGCCCCCACCCCCTGCAAACTTATTTGTAGGAGTCCTAACTCCTCGAACCTCACCATGTGACTCTAAAGAGGTAAAATGAGGTCACGTGACTGGTGCCCACTGTGCCTGGTGTCCCTGTAAGAGAGGGAGCGTGGGGGACAGATGCGCGCAGAGAGAAGGCCATGTGAGAAGAGATGGGGGGGCCGGGGGGGGCAGCCACAAACAAGCCAAGGGGCGGGGCCTGGGACGGACCCCTCCCCCACGGCGGCCCACAGAGGGAACCGGCCCTGTCGACCCCGTGGTTTCAGTTCCAGCCTCTGAAACCGGGGTCAGCATGTTTCTGTTGTTTACGGCTCTTGTTTGGGGCGGGCTCGGCCGACTCCCTCGCTCGGCAAGCGGGGCGGGCTGGGCAGTCCTGTTTGCAGAGGCTGGGGCGCTGGGGGGAGAAGTGGGAAGATCGTGCTGCGGCGTCCGAAACGCCCTTCCTCCACGGTTCAAACCGGGTAACGACGATGACGACATTCGCTGGATTGCAAGACACGCACGGGCGTCTGCCACAAACTGTCCTACTTACCTGTCCCAGGGAGGAGACTGCCAGCCTCCTCCTGCTTCTTTCAAACAAGGACATTGGGGCAGAGTTTTCGCGGCCCAGGTTGGGTCACGTGGGACGTCAGGTCGAGGGCAGAGTGGGATAGGTCAGAGGCCTCCAGCACGCGGTCTCACTCATTCAGTTATTGGTGAGCATTCGCGGGTCCTCCGTGCAACGTTGCTAAAAACGTGGTGGGACGTTTCCTTCTCGGTCCTGAAATACTTAGCACAGCCTGGCCACGTGGAAGAGGCTGAAAACTGTAACCATTCCTGCTAGCATCCAACTCTGGGAAAGGACTGCTTTCCTGAGTGAGCAGCCAGGGGGAGAGTGTCTGCTAGTGGAGGTGCTTAGTTAAGTATTTTTAGTGATTGTATGGGGTCTGGATGTGCTGCCCCTGCAGATCTGTTTTAGCTTTGTGTTACATGGTTAATAATCAGCTCTGAAAAAGTAGGTCTTCAGCATCTGGTAGCTAGCCAGCACAAAAATATCCCTTTCGCAAATCAACAACACAGTGTTTTATGAGAGAAGTTGAGAAAATAAGGAAAATCTCCAAGTGTCTCCAAGAGCTGGATAAATACCTTAGCCATGGGCATTAAAGTTCTAATCTATGGGAAACATTCTACTGTTATCTTTGCTAATCATTGAGCAAAGAGAGCATTATAGAAATAAGGTTTTTAAAAGGACCAAAGAATTTAATTCACAAAAACCAGGAAACATTATATTTGCTGTAATATGTTATATAGTCCCATTCCTCTGTTTTACGTACTAAATTTTCTGTCCCCTGAGTGACCATTGACTGGAAAAATGGCTTAATGCGGATGCATTTTTATGGTTTTGCGGACGTCGGAGCCACAGGGATTCTCTTTTCCTAAACACAAGATCCCCAGCTCTGCGTGCCAGTCTAGAACAACACACACACACACACACACACACACACACACACACTGTGTACATGCTTGTGGAAAGAACCAACGTGTGAGTGATCTTCCTGGTGGGTCTCCGTGAACCGAGGGAAAGGAAGCAATGTGTTGGTAAAGAAGGAACACTGTTACTTTGCTAAAGGCAGGGGATTTATTGTAGTGAGATTACATTGAAGTTTTATGTACAACACCCAATGAGTATGAAGTGATTTCCTCCACACCACTGGCGAAGACATCCCTGAACTACAAGGAGACTCAAAGTGCTACAAATCAGTTGAGATGGATGTAATGCATTTTCTCTAGTCCACCCCAAGGACCGATCGGATCATAGAAGGACCTATCGAAGGTGCTTCTCTCTGACCGGCGTTCGTGATGCCCCTAACCATTCCGGACCCTGAACTCTGTAAGCAAATGCTTGCAATCTGTTTCTCTCCTCTTCCTGTGGTGATCAGTTATCAGACAGCTGCTTAGTCAACTTCTAACAGAGATTTAGTACCTTTTCCCCTGAAATGGAGCTTGTGGAAAACATGAGAATTGGCCAGCCATTTGTGACAACATTAAGAAAAGAAAACAGTATTTTTAAATGCTACCCGGTAGAAAAGTGTGCCCCAGGAGGCGGAGAAGAGCAACGCAGTTTACGCCAAGTTCACAAACAAATATGTACACGTATTTACGCAGACACCTTTGCACTCAGCGCCTTGGGCGGAACACACTTGGTGCGTGTGCGATCCGTGGCACACACCCAGGTGCGCACAGACGCAGCTCGGGGGCCGCCGGGCAGCTGCCGTCTCTGAGGAGGGCTCTGCAGAACTTCTGGGAGGGAAGCTTATTCTCGACTTTTTGAACAGAGTCTGAAGCAGTTCTGCGTGCGGCCACACACCGCAGAGACGCCACGACCATGCCACGGCCTCAGCCCGCCTCCCTAAATGTAGGATTCTCTGGCGTAGGGCAGCTGGTCAGCCTCGAAGGCCGGCTGACTGCACCGCTGGGCCAGGTACTCCCACTGACTCTTCTGACTGCCCAGGGACACCGCGCTGAGCCGGGGCGGCTCCGGCCTCCCAATGCCGGCTGCCTGTCCTGTCATGTCCACGGAGGCACAGTCAGCTCTGCTCAGTTTCCAGCTCCCAGTCCTGGGGGAGACTCTGTGCCCAGTGAGTGGCTCTTGACCACACAGATCTCCTGAGTCCCCTCCGTGGGGCCAAGGCCGGCGAGGCGGCAGCCCAGCGTCCAGGCTGAGCATCCTGGCCCTCATGCTGCCGACTGTCTGCCTCCCGCAGGCGGTGAGGCCCAGGGCCTGGCCCCGCACGGCCTCCTCGTAGGACGGCGGGCTTCCCGGGAGCCTCCGGTCCACCAGCTGGAACACGTCGTCTGCGGACAGCACGCAGGTCCCCGCGCCAGAGTCCAGAGCTGTCCGGCCGTGGGCCTCGGACAAGCTCTCCTGGATGATCCGCCCAGCGAGCTGGCTTTCTTTTTTGAAGTCTTTCCCTGCTGGGTCCCTGGAGGAGCCTTTGGACTTGACTGAGGCCGAGCTGGGGGCCCGGCTCAGCCCTTTCTTGTGGGAGGCAAAGGAGAAGGACATGGAGTGCTTTTTGATTTCTCTGCTGGGCTTGCTCTTGTCGGCCTTTGTGAAGGACTGATGTCGGGAGAAGAAGTTCCTTTTGGGACTGCAAGGGGACGCCACGGGCGAGCTGTCCAGGGACGCGTCCGGAGAGCCGCTGGAGGGGGCTCTGGGCGCCAGCTCCTGAGGCAACCCCAAACCCTGCACCGAGTTCCTGGCGGTGAGGTCCTCCGGTGTCTGGCTTTTGCCTTCCACTGCAGGGAACACCTCCTCTGGAAACGGGTCCTCGGAGTCCTCGCTTTCCGGGCGGGAGGCTGGCCGGGGCCGCCTGAAGTCGTCCTCGCTCCGCGTCAGTTTCGGGTTGGTTCCCGGGGCCTCCTGCAGGGACGCCATGCTGGGCTCCGAGTACCTCCTGTCCAGCTCACTGAGGCTGCTCTTCCGTCTGGCCCCGGTGCTGACCGCGGGCTCTCGGCCCGGCTGCCAGCAGCGCTGCGGGCCTCGGGGCTCCGAGGGCGCCTCGGGCGGCCTGCCGGGAGAGCTGACGGCGCTGCCGGGGTCCACGTCGGGGTCGTTGCTGTCGTAGGCCGAGTCGTTCTGCAGGGTCGACGTGTCTGCAGAAGGTAAAGGACAGTTGAGCTTTCTGTTCCGATTCCCTTAGAAACGAACTTGGGTGCAGTTCACCCACCTGTGCCAGGTGTGGCGCCAGGTAAGTGGGTGGAGCTACTTGGGGGTTGGAAATGAAAGTTATTTGCCACATCAAATTTTTGTTTGTTTTTTTTTCAAAGTCTACACTATACTGAGATGACAGAGAGAGAGAAAAAAAACAGCATTTCACTGAAAATGTATTGATCTTAAATTTAAAAATGGATCCTTTGAATGGCTCTTTTATGGGGTCCATTTCCACTTTAACGGACCTACATTCCGTTAGTGGAAGTGAATGTTTATCACCCCAGCCCTGTAGGTAAGTGAACTCAGTAAGAGGAGCCCTTCTTCAAGACTTCAGGTAAGGAGGGGGCGGGTCCGGGCTCAGCCTGAAGGTGCGTCTGCAGCCTGAGGGGGTTCTGCAGGAAGGTTCGAGAGCCCAGGGTTCGTGTTTAAGGACCTCCCTACAGAGGAGTCTGCTCTCATTAGGTGGTCTGTGAAGGTAACCGCCACTCCAGATACCGGAGACACTTTCCGTCGCGATGGAAGGTCACACTCAAGAGGGGGCCCTGCGTTCTGTACCTGAACTGCTGTCGGCATGCTCCAGGGACTCCTCAGAAGCCACGCTGGAATGCGCCAGAATGATCTCCCCGAAGATTTCAAAGCAGTTATCGATGAGGAACTCCACCAAAGCCTTAACCTGTGAGGGCAAATGAGCGGGTTGTGAGCTTAGACACACCTCTGTTTTTCCTGAAAGGGACCGGGGGGACTTGGTGGGGGCTAACTGTCCGGCAGGGGCCCAAAGGAGCGGAGGAGATTTTGTGTGTCTAAAAATAGCATACAAAAAAATTTAGTAACAATCATCAGTCTCAAAGTTACTTTTGAGACGTGTGTGTGTGTGTGTTTTTTCCTTGGAGCATTAAAAACTTCTGCTTGAAAGTAATGAAGTTCTTTTCCCTTAAGGAAGGAGCTTCTCAGATCGGTGGTGGGACACAACCACACCATGGCATCGGGGAGAGGCACGAGGGACAAAAAGGAAAGGACCCTTGGGTCCTGAGAGGCCGGGGCCCGAAAACCGGTGGCACCAGGCCCCGTGCTGCAGGCTGACAAAGGGTGCGGCCCGGGCTCCGTCAACGGCCTGCCTTTCGAGAGCGGATGGAGCGTGATGAAACGTTCTGATCGCACGTGGTCGCCGCGCCCTCAAGTCAGAGGGATTCGGCGGCGTTCCATCACCGTGACTTGCACAAGGAGGGGGCGGTCCTATGCTGAGAGTTTCTCCGAAAGGGGCGGGAACACACCTTATTGTTCAAGTCTCTCTGGGCCTCGAAGGACAGGGTTTGGGCGTCCTCCCGGGTCAGCATGTTGGGCCCCACGCAGATGGCGAGGTTGCTGGCGTCCATCTTGCTGACCTCGGAGTTCTTGCTGATCAGGTGCAGCACGGAGAGCAGGTGCCTGAGCAGCAGGAGGTTGGGCCGCGGCAGCTGGTCGGCCACCCTGGAATGGAGTGCAGGGAGGAGAGTTTAGGGGAGGCGGGTGGCTCTTCTGGCTCCAGGGGAGCAAGCTGAAACTTTCGGGCCAGCTCAGACAGACTTCCTTTAAAATGAGGAAGGTGCCTTTTCACAAGTAACATTGTGAAATATTCCGACACTTCCAGCGGCCACTGACACGGAACGAAACTGGTGCACCACAACACGTGACAACCTCAGAAACTGAGCGTTATAACCAGGGCACTAAACAACACCACCTTTTATTATTTACAGAGATCTTCGGTTAGGAAGCGTTAACTCCTGCCGTGAGCACCACGGGTTAGCATTTCGAAAACGGTTTTGCTGAGGAATGGTTCAGCCATGTAGGTTGTGTTTTTGTTTCTCACACTGCAAGACTGTTTTTTTTGTTTTTAAACACAAACATTTGCTTTTTTTCTGAACTGCGGTCACGAAACAAAGATGAGGCATTTTTGTGCCATTCTGAGAAATCCTTACAGAGAAGATATCAGCTTATAAGGCATGTTCGTAACTGCGGGCCAGGGCAGCATTTAAATGGCAACATTGTTACCAATAAATAATGAATTTGATTTTTAAAGCCTTCCGTTCTCAAAAAATGAAATGGGGACTAATATATGAATCATTTTCATTTTTCATAAGAAGTTATTGTTCTGAAAGAGCTTTAATGTCTTTACGTAGAAAATAATTTTCATTTTGGAGCAAACACTCTAATGCCTTCAATTCTATAAATCTTCAATATTTCATTAAAAATCTCCAGCCACGTGGGATATTCCTAATACATAGGTGCACTTGCATAGAACTTGACCAAAGTGCTGATATGTTCAAGGTGGGCATTTAAGATTCTCTGGTCACTGACAGGTCACATTTTCATTTAATTGTGTTTGCTGTGATGGGGATTTGTTTTATATGGCTGTCCTTTTGGTGAATTATAAGAATGTGAAATGCGCTGTGGAATTTTATGAACCAAATAACCCCTTCCGGATTTGTCCTACTGTGCCTTAAAGGGTGTCTGCTGGGAGGTGGCTGCCTCGCGGGACACCCTTCTGGGGGGGTGGAGGATAACCCCCAATCCCCACACCTGGCTGTCCGGCCGCTTTGGAGACTTTCATCTGCGATTCTGTCTCACACCTTCTTGGATGACGTACGGTTTGAGACTCTCCCATCTCCCGTGATTTGCACAGAAGCTCACATTCAACTTTTTGAAAAAGTACTGCCTTTCATTTGGCTAAAACACTCTTTGTCAGTGTCCGGGCTGACTGCTGATTTTTATTCTGGGAGCGGATGCACAGTGCCACCCCGATCCCCTGGTCGTTCCAGATGTCACGGAACACGAGGACCATCACGTGGTCAACGCCCACCCAGGTGGAGCCGCGTGGGCCCGGCCCCCCGGAGCAGCTGTGAGCACTCACCGTTTCAGGGCCTCAATCCTGTGCTCCTCGTCCCGCGTCTCCAGGGCGCCCATCCACTCCTCGAACAGGTCCCAGGACAGCAGCTTCCGTGGGATGCCCCTGAGGAAGTCCTGGAGGAGGAAGGAAGGGCACGGTTTGGCCTGTGTCCTACCGGGTGCTGGCGTCTTTATCTCAACTTGGTTCCCTCTCAGGGGCTCTGTGCCCAGCCTGCCACGGGCCACATCCCCTCCTTCCTGCATTTGATTCACTGGGGGAACTATCTCTCTCTCTCTCTCTCTCTCTCTCTCTCTCTCTCTCGTTGTCTCTCAGCAATTTCCTAACGACAGGCACAGTAAGGTGGCCACCAGACTCAGGGGCGTGCACTTGGCCACAGGACAACCCAAGTGCCTTTCTCATCAAAACTGTGGGGACATTTAATGCCTCGCTTCCTGCTGGAATCTGGGATCGCAGACAGACAGACGTTTGTATAAACACAGAAGGGGCTTAACTAAAAAAGTGAAACCCTGAGATCGGTTTACTTTGATCTTGGGAGAGAAAGCCCATTTCCCACATGCGGAGAGTGGGTGCGTGAGAGCCCTTGGCGGGGTCTTCGGCGCCGAGGCTGTGAGCTCACCTTAAAGACAGCGGCCAGGAGGTGCACAGGGAGGCTCTGCAGCTCCACCACGCCCCCCGAGTTGAGCTCCTCCTTGAGCTCTTTGCGGGCCTTCTCATTGGCTGGTTTCCTGAATATCCCCTCGGTGGAAGGGCCTTTGAGGCACAGGATTGCGAGCATATCCTGCAGGGAAGAGGCAGGAGAACAGGCAACGGTTACCCTTGGTGCGAAGACACGCTTTGCCGCCAGCACACTGAAAACCCACGTTTACGTAGGAGAGAAGGAACTAAAACGGCACATCCGAACAGCAGCTAACGCTACCTGCCATAACACATCCCCTCCATAGCAGTTAGCTCTCCGCGATACTAAGTCGGTCTCAATGAGTGGCTGTCAACGCCAGTTTTTCCTTTTGGTCCAGCTGCTACCAAATGCCTTCCTGGAAAACCCTGCCATTTTTCTAAGAGGAGGTTAGTGGGGAAAGACCTAATTTTCAGCATTCTGAAATTATGTCAGGCCTCCCTCCTTGTGAGTTGTTCCGTATAAACAGTGGGTTCTGATCACGGAGGCTGCCCCGAGTCTCGGTCTGCTGGTCTTTCAGAAGCCACACATGTCCAGCATTCTTAACTCTGCAAAGTCAAGGGCAGAGTGACCGCCAACCCGAGCTCGTGGGCAAATACGCGGCAGCCAGGTGCCGTCCTGGCTGCACTCTCGGGTGGGCACGCGGTTTCTAAAAGGGGCCGCGCCGATGCCTGGCCTCACTCAGCCCGTCCCGCCTGGGGCTAGCTGGCACTCGGACCACCTGAGGCTTTTTGTCACCTCGGGGAGGACACTCGAGAGGGTTCACCGGCACACGCGCGTGCCCACCTGAATGGGTCTGGGGAGCGTGTCGTCGTCACCACTGATGATGGACAAGGGCTGGTCGAAGAGTGAGGTTTTCAGCTCCGGCTCTGAAGCCCCAGAGAAGTCGGATGAAGGAGAGAGCCTTCGCATGAGAAAGGGCCAGGAGAGCACCTTCTTCCTCTTCTTAACCTCTGCAGCAAGAGAACAAGGCAGGGGGCACGTTGGAGTGAAACCGTGAACAAACAAAGGCCCGTGAGAGACCAGAGATATTGTCAGTGACACAGTGTCCTCTCGGGTGTGCCATGTGGGGGAAATGCTTTTGAAAAAAAACTGAGAAGGCCAAGGGCGTGCCTCTTAATCTCACAAGAATCAACCTAGAAACAACCACACTGTTGCCAGGCAACCAACCCCTAAACAACAACACCACAGCGCCTCAAGGTCTCCACCTTTCCTGTTTTCACCCCTCGCCAGATGTCTGCTGCCGAAAATTGGCCTCCCTGTGCAGGTCAGAGACAGCCATCCTGACACACTGACCTCCACCACGGTGGTGGGCATCTTTGGCGTTAAATCTATTACTTTAATGTGTTCCTTTGACTCGTGAAGAAAACGGAACTTAGGAGGAGAGGAAGTGACTTGTTCTACGGGATCCTTTTGAAGAGGCTTAGCCAGGGCCGGCTGTTCAACTTCTGCGGCCGCGCTGGCGCCCACCGGTCACTAGAGGGAGCTACATCACTCAGCCCGCCTGCAGGCTCCGCCAGGGTTTCAACCGCAGGACCGGGCGGGGGGGGGGGGGGTGTGGAGGTGGGGGGAGCACCGTGCTGCAGGGAGGCCAGAGCCTGGTCTTGGCGATTGGAAATGACCAGTGAGCCCTTACCAAGATGCTCTATCTATCTTTGCAAAATCTTGAAGTCGTGTGTGCAGTGACTACTGCCTCTCACAGTTTTCCTTCCTTTTCTCTCTTCTCCTTCCTTCTCCTTTATTTCCTAACTATAAAACCTGCATTTTCCGAGAACATTGGCGTGTGTTCCTATACGTTTTACGCTGGCCAGTGGAAGAGGATGGGCCGAGAAGTGGCTTGTCCTCCAAGTTCAGGAGCACTGGGTCGGGGTTACGTTATACTGAAAGCACTGTGAGAACAATGAAAAGTGAGCCGTGGGTTCTTTGGAATTTGATATCAGTGGAGATAGCTACATGGGCTCCTAGATTCACTTTCCACCAGAAAAGGGAGACAACGGAAAAGGCATTGCGTTCTTTTTCATGCGTATGCACACTTTGATCACCACGGCATCAGCAGCCAGGAGGTCTGTCACCGCACCCCCCCCCAGCCCCCACCAGCCAAGAACCACCGGAAGGGCTGGGGGGTAGCTGCAGGGAGGGGCCTGTTCCCTCTGAGCACTCTGGTGCCCTAGGGAGCTGGAGCTGGCCTGCTATTGAAGTGTTAATGTTCTGCGGTCTTTAAAAGAACACTAAAAAAAAGAAATTCCTAGTAGACTAATGTCCTGTGGTTTTGCAAACCAAGAACATGCAGTTGTTAGCACTTACATAAAAGACCAGCATGTTTTCAAAACTCACCAATCAGCTGGCAAATGCTGTCTTCACTCTCGCATGATGCCAACAGAGGATGTTCCTTGATGTCACCCTAAAAACATGTTTATTTTAGTTAGAAATAATGAGCGAGAAACCTACCCAGGCTTTCCCCGTGAAATACACATGTAACACTTTATTCATGTTAAAAATTAGTCAACAGAGTTCACTGATTTTTTTCCAGCTTCTAGCATCAATAGCAAAGTCTTGATTGTTTCATATAGATCCTCATGATGTGTTTAATATACTGCATTTATGATATTAATTTTCTACTCTAATAACTAAATAAGCCAAACAATATTCAACTACATAGAAAGTTTTCTATTGTCCCCCAGTGCAGATAAAAACAAAGCTTCTAAAAAAATTTCCTTCTTACCTCTGATTGACATTCAAGTAATGTCTCCATGTTACCGGCATTTAGTGTTTTTGACTGAAAGAAAAAAAAAACATTAAGTTAGGCAACCGTTTGACTTGAGTCTAGAACAGGAGTTAATGACCACGAGAGAGGGGGCACCTACGGCATTGCAGCTGCTTATCAACTTCATGAGAACCTCGGCTGACCGCCCAGTGACGAATCCCACTCCCCTGTGGCCTCGGTGCTGCCTGCGGAGAAAGCACACGGGGGAGGGTCAGGAGGGACGCAAAGGATACGTCGGCCAATTTCAGTGCCCCTTTGCCAGCACACAGAGCTTGCAACTATCAGGCAGAAATAAATGTTTTCATTTAGAGCACAGTTGTCTGTTTCCAGATGTCTTACACTATCAAGAACAGCCTCTGAACACACACTTCTTAGTTAAACCTGATATTGTCACCACGCCAAATCCTGTTGTGCATTTATTACATCAAGAGATAATTTGAAAAACAAGTTCGATAACAGGTAACATTTGGGCGGGGGGGTTGCGGAGAGCTTGCTATGTGCCAGGTATTTATTACATTAAGAGCCTCTTGTGACATTGCTCATCCAACCCGACGAGGAAAACGCTCACTCCCAGGATGCGTATGACGAGTAGACTCAAACCCAGGAGAACATTCCCAGAATCCCTACTCCCCCACCATGCAAGCTTCACCTCGAAGCAAAGCTCCCGGTGTCCGGAGTCTTTATAACCCTGCTGCCTACTCCGTGGTGCAGCTGTTTTCTCTCGGACCTGAGCTGAGAGACCAGGGACCTGCTAGCTGCAGCCCTGCCCTGAGGTGCCCCATCCCGTGAGTTTGCCGCACTTACCCCGGGAGGGCCCCCGGCCAGCGTGCCTGTACCTCCTCCGGGAGCTGCGGGAAGCGGGAGCAGCAGCCTGACGCAGCCCCTGCGGCCCCACGGGCGGGCGGGCGGAGAGCAGCAGCGGGACTGCCCTGGCCTCACGTGTTCTGCGTTATAAGTGAGGGGGTGGAAACTCCGAGGCGACCGGGGCCGGAAGGAGCATCATGGGCTGTCCCCCGGGCTGAGCACGCACGGAGAGCACCCGCTTCCTCCTTCCTTTTGGGGCAGCTCTGATTCTTCACTTTTTTTCTCCTTCCAATTTCAAAGGGGGAAAAAAAAATCTGTCAACGACTCGGGGTGGAAAAGATGACATAGGGCCACAGGGGAAGGCTCTGACTAATGTCACAGGTGGGATGTGTGAGTAGCAGTGGAGGTGACTCTGAATGTAAACATCACCTTGTTTTCTAACGTGGTACTTTTGGCTGCCCCCCTTTTTGGTATCCTGTCTGGGCGCCGTCTCCCCTCCCACCCACCGTCTACTGCCTCCGTCACCCTCTCTGAGTGCGGGATGCTGTCGTTCCAGGACCCCTGGGGCAGGCCACGGGCAAAGGGCCACCCCCCCAGGCCAGGTCTGTTTCCTTGGGAACTAGGAGGAGAGTCCCCTAGGGCACTTGTCATCGCAGGAACCTCTCCTCTCTCCCTAACTCCTCGTCACAATGAACACTGAATCCACAGAACAGCGCTCATGTGGACAAAGAAGGGACACAAAACCTTCCTTTGATCAGACCAAGTTCAAGGAGAAAGGCGATGGCGAGTTTCACCTGCGGCTCCCTCCCCCTGGATCATAGAGCGTGTCTGGACTTGCCCGTGGCTGAAAGGCTGTCTCTGAAATGACTCCAACGCCCTGGCAGTAGAAGGGACACGTAGACCGTGAGGCACCCACATAGGGGGGAGTCGGGCAGCAGGGAGAATGTGCGGTACAAAAATACGTTCAACATCGGGGTCGGGTCTCCCCAAGTGACACCGAGCGAAAGCAGGCAGACCCCAAAGCGCACGTCTGCCCGGAAAGCACAGAAACAGGGGACCCAGCCCAGGGCCGGGCACGCGGAAGGGGCTCAGTGAATCCTTTCCGAACAAATGCATCGACCTAGAAACGTCACTGTACACGTATCACTACAATACACGCTTGACTAGCGTGTATTTCATGAGCTGTTTTTCACCCGATATGCTTTTTGGGTTCTTCTAAGAAACTTCATGTTTATGCTGCTCTTACAACCAAGACGTCAACCTTCCATTGAAATATTTGCCCCCCCTTTGTTTAAAAAAAAACGAAGACTGTATTTTCTCTAACCCTTCAGGTTTTTCCTTCCTGTCATGCACTGTCCCCCACCATAAAAATTCAACCAGTGACTTCAAAACTGTTTATTTTTTCCACGGACTTCTATCTTCAGAGGAAGGTCATGTATCTAGAATACTGAGAAATAAAATACGAAATACAATGTAGCTGTTCTCCGGGGAGTGAACGGTGGGGAGATTGGGGCCTGTCTCCTCTGCCTCTTCCCCTGACTAGCTCAAGGCGGGGGGAGCCCTTGAAGGACTTCTCGAAAGCCCACAGGTTCGTCCTGTAGCAGCGGTTCCCCGAGTGCATTCTGGGAGCCGGGGGTCCCTGAGGCCCTCTCAGGAGGGTCCCCGGGGTCATAATGACCTTAGTAGTAACGGGAGGTGCTCTTTGCCTTTTTGAACTGTTCTCACCAGAGCACACAGTGGGGCTTTTCAGGGCCGCCCCTGCCGGATGCTCCGACGCAGCAGGGACACTCGCTTGTGTCTATTTAAGCATTAAAATCTCCTGGTTTTTAGTTTTCCCCAAAGTACACATTGGCAGCTATCACTTGCATAAGTTAAGCTCTTAAGAGTGCGCCATCATTTTGGAAAAAGGGTTCCCGAAACCAGAACGTTTGAGAGCCGCTGACCAAACTCGAGACACTCGCCGGGTGTCCTTTCCCCATGATTTCCGCCGGGACCGCCGTTTTCAGTGAAAATCACGTTCACGGTGCGTGGTCTGACAGTCCAGTCGCACGCACCCCGGCGAGGAGGCAGAGGCCTTTCCGAGCGCCGGGGCCGGGGCCGCTGCCCTGCCGCCGGCCGCCTGTCCCGGGGCCGCGGCTCCAGGGCGCCCTCCGCCATCTGCTCGCGCCTGGGTCTCGGGTTCTTCATGGCGGTCACCCCACTTCTCGGTTCCTCCGGGGACCACGTCCCACACTCTGACCTCAGCCGTCGGCAGATGGCAATGGGGAAGAATGAGGAAGTCAGTCAAATATAAGAAAAAGGCCATTTCCCGCTGGGTGTGTAATTCTAAGGTTTTTTTTAAACTTTTAAGTGAGATGTGATCGTCGTTCGGGGCTGGATAGTTTTCTCACATAGAGGTTCATGCCTTTCCATGGATCATACAATAGACTAAGAAAGAGACACAAGCATTCAATTCAGTAGCAACTCTTTTGAAAAGCAGAGTAATAGATTATGTGTTTGTTAAGGATGTGGTGGTAACTTTGGACATCTTGAAAAAATGATTAAAGTGCAAATGCTATCAATTATGTCGAATTAAAACTCCCCTCTAATCTAGTTTTTTATCCCTCTCTCTCTCTCTCTTTTGACCCTTAGAGGCAGATTTTGTGCGAGGTCCTGAAACCTCAGTTTCATGAATAACAACAAAACATAGAATACCATTGACATCATCCTTAAGAAACACAGAGGGCAAAGGGTCATGACCTGCAAACCTGTCACCCGGACAGGTTAGCGTTTTCCACTGCTGTGTACCCTTCTCTCAACCCGCCGCACCCCGCTTTAGCAGGGGAGGGAGGGGCCGAGCTCTCTGGGCTGGGAAGCCGTTAGCAAACTCGATGGGAAGGAGTAAGTTAGGGCTCGGTGGCTTTTTAAAGCAGGGGTGCCTCTGGGCTGTTCCTGTAGACGCGCGGCTGATGGGAAGTCCCAGAGGGAAGTCCCTCCTTGGCGCCCCTGGGAGAGAGGGGCGGTTCTCGCCTGAGCAGTAAGTCAGCTTTGAAACTGGTGGACAGCCACGCTCAGCAGCTGCCCAGGTGGCTGACTGAGGGGACAGTGCCCACCCTCAGTGCTGTGTGTCCGGCGCGTGGCTCCCTCCGTGGCGTGGGGAGGTGGGGACAGAGCAGGCTCACGTGCCGTCTCCTGGACAACAGCAGGAGCGCCTGTCACTACGGTGGGTGGTGGGGCAGCAGGCACCAGTGTGTCCCTGGGGTGGGAAGGGTGGGGAGGAACACCTCCGTCCTTCCCCCGTGACCAGCAGACTTGGGTTAATACCGGTGCTGAATTAGGATTCGGCCTCCTGGGTCGACCGCCTTGAGCCCCACCCTCTTTGTGGAGGAGGAAGCCCCTGTGGTTCCCGTCCGGGATCCTCTAGCTCCACCTGCCCCTGGGGGCTGGGAGGTCTGTGTCCCACGCCCAGGCTGGGTGCAGGCAGAGGCCTGGAACCCGGGGCTTAGAATAAAGCACTGAGGGGGCAGGGGCGTCAACCGAGGCCCAAGGCTCCGCCTCTCTCTGCTGCCAACTCGCTGCTGTCCTGACCAGTCCTTGGATCAGACATGGGTGGGATTCGGGAATCAGCCAAATCCTTTCTGTGTGGTGACATTGGCCCCAGTGAACTAGCAGTAAAACTCCTCGCCCGCCTCTCCTCTGGGAAACTTCGAGGAAAGTCTCTGGGGTGTGGGGGAGGGCGGAACGAGACTGTCTGCCTCTCCGAGCACAGGGCTCACAGAGGCTGCCCCCGGGGCAGAGGGCAGGTGGGGACTCCGTCTGGGGTACAGTAAGTCCAGTCCACGTCCTTGAAGGCCATTTCTTTCCTCCTGGCAGGGCAGGGTCTGTCCTCCAGCCAAACTCGAACTCGTGCCATTGCGTGAGGGTTACCCGCACTTCTCCGGGTTTGCGGGGACCACAGACCCTGGAAACACGGTAGCGTCCTTGTGTCTCCCAGGGGTGCTATGCCCTGCGCCCACACACGCCCGCATTTCTGCAGCGGGGCACATTAAAGCTTGCCTCTCAGATCTTCGAGATCATTAATTCATCTTTGTATTGGAATACAAAATAGCCAAATACAAAATTGCAGAAAATATTATTTGAAGAATTCTGTGTTTTCAGAAAGCTGGCTTGGAAATTAAAAAGGCTACAACAAAAATGTTCTTTTAAAACTGCCTTCCCCACTTGCTGAGATCAACATGAAGACTTGGAAATGAAACGTCCTGCGAGCAGGGGATTCGAACCTGTGAATCGGTGGTCGAAGGACCACAGCGTCGGGGGCAGTGTGCCAACTCACATTTCCCACTTTACGGACTAAAGAATCCTTCCTTTCGAAGGATATTTTGGCCTGAAATATTGCACACACACACACAGAACACCATGTCGAAAAGTATCCCTTAAAATCAGTTAACTACAACATAATTCAGCATTTTTTTTAAAAAAGAGAAAATTATGAAAACTGAGGTTCTTTGTTAGCAGTCCACAAAGTTCATGTGTGGCATTTGCAATAAAAAATCTGAATAAGAAAGTAGAAACTATGGGAAAATGTTTAGTTAGCCTCGTGCTTTTAAAATGGCTTTTAAAGAGATCGTTCCTCTAGTTTACTCAAAAAAAAAATTCTACTGCGCACTTTTTTCATTTGTTTTATGAAAAAAAATTATGCAGAGCGTTTACCTCCCAGTGTACATGTTAGAAAAGCATTTGCCATTTTGAATGTGTGTGGGCCTTGCTCCGAGGCTGCGCCTTACTTGGTGTCTCTGGAGAAAACCTCCTCGGCGTGGCCTCGGAAGGTGGCCCTGGCTCCGGGGGCGGGGCGCTCGGGGGGTGTGGCCACAGGCGGGCAGCGAGGCCCGCGTGCACCCAGCTCCCGCGGGGACCAGGGGCAGCAAGGGTCTCCATCCCCACTCCTGCCCGGACGGGCTCGTCGGTGACGGGGTGGGGGGTGGGGGGGGTGGGGGACCGTGCTCACTGGGTGGCTTGGTCTCATTCACGCCTTTTAGTTCGGGCTCCACTACCAACCACGCAGCGCGTTCCTTACCCCTTACTGACTGGTACGGTGGAGTGATTTGTTTTTCTTGGCAATGAGAGCTTTTCGGAGGCGCTAGTCTGGACTGGTTCTGATTGAGACCCCAGGACCAGTCCCGGACTGCGGCGTAAAGCTTCTGGAATCTTCCGTGTACAGAGACTTTGGATGGGGGCAAGGTCAAGAGGTGATTCTGGGAAAGCCCGACGCAGCCTCCTGGAGAGAAAGTGGGCGAATGACGCTGGGCCGAGAGAGTGAGGGAACAGGAACGCTGGGGGTGGGGTGGGGCGGGAATGGCTGCCTGCGCCCAGAAGGGTGACACTCACAGCTGCCCACCCCTCCCCTCCCGGGCTGCACAGAAGGCAGAGGCCCTGAGGTGGTCTGTCTCCGCACCCACTACTCCCAGGTTCTGCCTGCAGGACAGACGATCACAGGTTTCTCCTCCTGCCTCCGGGTCAGAAACCATTATGCCGAACGCCAGGTGTTACGAGACATACACGTTGAAAATGCTTGTACTTTCTTAGATTTTACACCTGTGGACCGCAGCACTGAGCCCAAAGCCGTGTCCCCGCGGAGCATTCTTGTGAGCTCCTCAGTGAACCTCAAAGGGCCATCAGCGACCTTTCCAAGCTGTTGTTTAGGGGAGCTCAGCAGCCTCGGCCTGGAGGGCTCCCAGAGACCCAGGGTACGCCTCACCCACTGGGGCTCCCCATCTGCCGGATGGCAGCGCCTACCACTGTGCATTTCTGACAAGTGTCCCAGCCACGTGGGGGCAGCTGCCCGGGGACCTCCCTGGAAAGATGTCTGCTCAGGTGCCCCAAAGACTCGAAGAGTGAACACATTTTACCCCCAGGTCCCGGGCATGGCGGTGTCCTAGTGCTATTTCTAGAATCACTGGCTCATTCTACAGTCTTAGCACCTGCCTGGCCTTCCCGCCAACGGCCTGCCCCCGAGATCAGCCCGCAGCCCCGGCAAAGGAGAAGTTCATGCTGGCACCCCGAGACGAGGCCCGCGGCCACAGGAGGAAGTTCACAAACTCTCATTTTTTAAGAATGAGTAAAATGACAGTCCCCAGCCAGAGGTCCTGCTTCTGCTTTTCTCAGATACCTGGACACCCCTCTGCTCCTGCGCACTACGCCCCCCCCGCCATTTCCCAGCAGGAAAGTTGAGGGCAAACCTCTGTGTTCCGAAGAATCCCAAACGCCTCTCCGAGGGCGCCCAGCGGAGATCAGGCAGGCACTGCTCAACCCGGTTAGAGCCCCGAGGTCTCACGGCACCGAGGTCTGGCTAATTTTATTTGATTTTTTTTTTTCAAAAACATGCGGTATTCCCCTGCCGGTGACTCACTTCCAGCGGCCCTGGGCTGAGGAAACCAGATGGACCACAAGTTCCCCGGGCTCGTTCGAGGGCCGTGGCCCCGACCGTTTGCCCACAGGTGTGTCTATTCCTCATTAAGAATTTATTCTCTAAAAAAAAAAAAAAAAAAAAAAAGAATTTGTTCTCGCCCTGGCTGGCATAGCTCAATGGATTGAGTGCGGGCTGCGAACCGAAGTGTCACAGGTTCGATTCCCAGCCAGGGCATATGCCTGGGTTGTAGGCCATGGCCCCCAGCAACCGCACATTGATCTCTCTTTCTCTCTCTCTCTTTCTCTATCTCTCTCTCTCTTTCTCCCTCCCTTCCCTCTCTAAAAATAAATAAATAAAGCAATACATCTTTAAAAAAAAAAGAATTTGTTCTCCACGGGAGATACTTCTGCAGATCCCCAGACACTCATAGCCAAGGTTTCCTGAGCGTTATCAACCAGAACAAGCCGCGTGTGTGTGCACGCCCCTGCATGTAACAGTGTCCCTGCATGTACGTATCACCAATGATAGGGTCATCGAGTGCTAGTGGAATCTTTCTTGCCTGACAAGGACAGGCGGTGTCGAGTGTGAGCACCAGCCCTTTGCACACTCTGCTGCACATCAGAGCCCCTGGGGAGCTTTTAAAAATTCCCAATCCCTGGACCACGTCCTGCACGGGGGAAATTGTAATCACTGGCGGTGGGTTTCAGACGGCGGTGGGTTTGAAAAGCCCACAGAGAGAACTTCAGTTCGCAGCCGGTCCTGGGAACGGACGATTCCAGCAATAGCCCCCTGGGTGAACATCTACTAGTTCTGTAACTGGAGGCACCAGGCCCTCTTAGCAGCAGCAGGCGCATTCTCGACCAGGGTGGGAGTCAGGGGCTCAGGTTCCTTCCGCAGACGAGCGCCAGGCGGAACTCCTCGCTGGCTCACACACAGAGGGAGAGAGTCGCCCTGACTTGGGATCTGCTGCAATCCTGGGGCCGAGTCAACAGCGTCAGACACTCTTTGCTCCCATGGACAGGTGGCGCCTACTTCCCCACCCCTTGAGGCGGGGCTGGTTTCGTAACCTGCTTTGACCGGCGGATTGCAGTGAGAGGGATGTCATGTGAGTCCCGGGCCTTCCTCTGTCGCTACCTTGAATTGGGCCCTGAGACGGCCATGTAGGGGCTGCAGGCCGTGTGGAGCAGAGGCCAGGGGTCCCCTCCCAGACCTGGGCGACGCTCCGGCACAACGCTGTCACCCGAGGGAGCCCACGGGGAACCAGCAGAGGAGCTGCCCGGCCGGTGGAACCAGGGAAGTCGGAAGCCGCTGTTTTAGGGGACGGAGTTTGGGGCTGGCTGCCTCTCAGAAATGGGCGCCTGACACACACGGCGGCTCCATCCGTGTTCTCGTGACTTCCGCATGTGTGCCGCGAGGACAGTGCCGAATTTTTTTAAAAACCACTGATTTCGTGTCTTCCTCAGTTGGAGTCTTTATTTTAAAGCACTTTGGCGAGCTGCTGAAACGGTGTGGCTCACAGCGAGGCCTGACGCAGTTGTCCAGTGTGCTCACGACCATGGCGTTGGACGCGGACTGGAGAGATGTAAAATGAAAACCAATCAGCGGTAGGTGCTGTCAAAAACCAGCACCTAGGGACACAGGCTCTGTACGAAGTAATCTTCAGATGCAGAACGGAAGGGCAGAACACCCAACACTTTGAGTGGGGCATTCACACATGCCAGAAAAGAACGCCTTTCTTTTTGAGGGCTCCGGCAGTTGAGCGGGGGGGCCTTCTGTACACGGAGTCCTGAAATTCTTCGTGCTCACTCAGTCAGCGAGTGGCTTCTGAGACCCTCCGACGGGAAAGGTGCTTTACCGCGTGGCGGGCTCCTGGGAAGAGGGCACGGCTCCCCAACTCAGGGAGCCCGGACTGCGGTCCTAGCCCGCCCTGCGGTGTCCCCAGGGACCGGCTGCCAAGTGCATGCGCATCGCGCTCCTGACTCTGGGAATTCAGATCCAGTCCCTGGGGAGTGCGCTACGGTTTCTCAGTCCTAAGGAGGGGAGGGGGGTCCATGCTCCCATACAAGCGTTCTGCCCATCGAACAACGGATCGGGGAGGAGTGGGGCCTTCACCCAACAACCCCGAAGGGGGCTTCCCCTCGGCAGTGTGTTCATGTAATCCAGCGTCTAGAAGTAATTCAATGAGGAGGCCTTGCCTTGTCACCAGCCACTCAGATTTTAGCACCTTCTCACACGCACACACTCACACACCATTCTCCAGGGCTGCCATGACTCCACACCGCCAACTGGGCAGCTGAAACAACAGGAAAACATTTTTCGCGGCTCTGGAGTCCAGGGTGAAGGCCAGGCTCGAGGTGTCTGCAGGTTCGGTTTCGCCTGCGGCCTCTCTCCTTGGCTGGCAGAGGGCCACCTTGTCAGTGGGTCCTCACACGGCCTTTCCTCTGTGTCTCTCCGTGTCCACACCTGTTGCACTGCATCAGCACCATCCCAATGGCCTCATTTTAACTCGATCATCCTATATAAGGCCTCTCAGAACACAGTCACATCCTAAGGTACCATGAAACAATTACACATGCATGTATATTTTTATTTTCCGTCGACAGGAAGTATGCCTGTATCTGTGTCTCTGTCAGGGGTTAGTATCACTCCACACCTTATGCCAACACCTGCAGACACAGAGGGACAGGAGAGGGAGGCAGGTGGTTTGTAGCGGCGTGTGCTCGCGTCTGGACCCCCGAAGGTAAAGGCCGGGGGAGATGCGGAAGTCTGGGGGGGCTGGGGCGGGTGCAGAGCTGAGAGCATTCCGGACCACGCCACCGCGGGCTTCTCCCAGCCAGCAGGTTACCGGGACACGCACCGGTTCACACGCCCCTGAGAAAGTTCACGGGGACGCAAACCCTCCCCTCCCCAGTGAGGTTGCTCAAGTTCCTATTCAGAAACAATGGTCAGGGAGGAAATTACATTTTTTGGCGGTTCTTTTCTACCTTCTCCTTTTAGAGCCCTTCCTACCGTGATAGGCAGATGAGGCTTCCTTAAACAGAAGCCACTTAGTTCCCATTTTCTCTAGATGGAGGCATTTCAGATAAAAAGCCGAGATGTCAGATACACATTTCTTAACGGAAGGGGAATTCTGCAGATAACTAGGAAATCCGAGAGCGGGGCTGAGGGTGTTTGCTCAAATCCAGCGACACGTATTAATTTACAAACACAACAGACTGTGCGGGAGAATCTCCTCAATGCTTGCGTCTGAGGAACCTTTTCCTAAATGGGTCCAGCGGACCTTTGCCCGTCTTCCAGGGCGGACCCTGCTGGACGGCCGCCCGGAGCAACTGCCCGCAGCGTGGCCCCCACGGGGCTGGAGCCGTCTCTGTGGGAGGGGCCGCCCTCCCGGGGCCGTGGGAAGACAGAGGGGGCTGGAGCCTGTCCAGGAACACACGGCGGGACAAGGCTGCGTCTCCGTCCTACAACGAACAAGAGGGCCCGAGGGACACATCCGACCCCGCAGACCCGGAGTCACTGCGAGGGGAAGGGGCGGAGGCTGCCCAGGCCCCACGAGCGCCCCACACGCGGGAACGACCTCTTCTTCCTGCGGGCTTCAGTTCTGCGGGTCGTCTGCCTTCCCGCACACTTTCCGTGTGTCCGGTTGCTAGCTCGTTTTCGCCGTGATGGGGCTGAGAGAACATCAAAGAAGGAAGGCTCAGGGAGCTTGCACAGTGTCTCAGCCAAGAACCCTAGACATCAAGACGTACCCGTTTTACTCAGAGCTCATTGAAGAGTATGTAAATATTTCCTGTACTGATTTTTCTCAATGGAGGAACTACTCTTTCTCCCCTCCACCCCAGAGGAGCCATATCTGGGGCACACCGTCACACGGGGTCCCCGAGTCTCTTGTGTGGCACGGGCGTGACTGTCAAGGGCAGGGGGTCCTGCCTGCGGCCCCTCACGGGCCTCTGGGGCTCTGGAGGTCTTTTCCCGATCCACACATTGGAGACGAGAGCGAGAACTGGCTGAGTGTAAGCCCCCCATTGATTACAAATCGGCCACCAATACTTGTCCACAGTGGCGTCTACCCTGTGGTGCTATTTGGTTTGGCGTGCGATTCCGTGGCTGTCTGACAACCAACACACTCACATTTCACGGTGATCAAAACCCTCTCCCATGATTCTCAGGTGCCCGGGCACTCACACGAGGCTGGTGGCGAGGCCCTGGGGAGGTCGAGGGTGGCAGCTTGCTTCTCCGTCTCTCTATGAGGGCAGGGTCTTGCGTCTTCTTAAAACCGATACTCTCTCCACACTGGCTGGCATGCAGGGGCATCCGGTTATCACTGCGGAAGAAACAAATCCCCGCAGGGGCCATCGGCTTGTGTGTAGCAGGTAGCCATGACTTGGAGGGTCGTGGTGACGAGTGTGGTCCAATGGCAGCACATTCGCCGGTTGTGCTCACCCCAGTGTTGGCCCGGAGTTGGAGTCCGGAGGGAGGAGGGAGGAGGGAGCCGGTCACGCACCAGTTTGGGGAACTGGACGGGAGGGGAGAAAGTGTTCCCTACGCCTGGTCTTCTCCATGCTCCGTCCCGGGAGTCACACGAGCGAGCAGAGCGACCAGAGGGGAGAGGTCCACCCCGGCCGCCCCACTGGAGCAGCCGTCCAGAACACTTTCGCAAGGGCTCAGGAGGAGACCCAAACAGAGGGAGGAGGCGGCACGGTGCGGGGAACGGCCGGGCTCCCCGGGCCTCTCTCTGGCTTCCTGAGCCCCATGAACAAGAGGGGAGAGGCCTGGTCTGAGCCGGGCAGGGGGACCCCTCACTGTCAGTGACAGCGAGGAGCCAGCCGCTCCCCACAGCAGGAAGGGATGCACTGGTCACCCTTGAGAAGGGGTCAGGGGAGGGGACCGAGGCTTTCCAGCTGAAGCTCCTTC